CTTATCCACGAAAGGGATTGTAGCTGAGTTGTAAAGTAAAGTAACGATGCCAAGTTTTATCAAAAATTAGCTCTTGTTATTTGTTAAGAATGTAATATGGCGTTTATTTAAAGTAATCTTTTCGTCTTTGTTTATATTGCGGAAGAAAACAATGCATTTTCCAGAAAAAATAAACAAAGACCGTCTTCTAGGTCTCCAAGGTTAGACGATGAAAAAATTGTTGGTTATGTGCCACTAAGAATATTCCCAAAGATCATATAGCAATAATCCAAAAAGAGTCTTAATTTCCAAAAAATGTATGATTTTTCCAAAGATTTTATCGTGAAAGAGAAATTATGACGCCGAAAATTGCGAAATAAGTTTGATATGTATATATTGAAGCAAAATTTTCCAAAAAACGTATAGAGTTGTGTGTATGTCGTTCTACACTTATGACGCTAAAATTGTAATATATCCGCTTGTTGTATGTGTGTAATGTAAAAATTTCCAAAAGAAATATTGCAAATTTTCCAAACAATGTAGTAATTTTAGAGATAATTGTTGATTAGTAGATATGTATGTAAATGTAAGTATGTAATTTGAGCTATTTTTAATATGGTTCCGCAAACAAAACCCAAAATGTATCAAATGTGGCGGGTAACTTTTCTAAGGTGTCCACTGTACACGGACAGACAAACGGAAGCTTCTAAATGTTTTAACTTTCCACCAATGGAAAAGCAAAGTCGCAAAAACTTCTCATTTATTCCACTTTTTCCATAAAGGTTTCTCCTTGTTTGTCGTTAACTTTTTGTTTATTCCAGTGGTTCGTCTTCTTGTTCCTTAATTTTTGGGTTCTGCTTAAAATGTCTTTTTGGTTAAAGGCCCGTACCGATGTAAATCTTTGTTGCTATCTATATCTAATACAAATCAATTGTTGTTCGTTGGTAATGGAATCAGTTAAGAACGGCTGGACCGATATCCATTATTTTTTGTACAAACGTTCGAGTTAGGTTATTAAAGAAAAAATATTGACCACGTCTACTTTTACGTTCATTATTACGATTTATCTAAAATCCTATATTTGCCAAAATAATGAAGATATCGGTTTGAAAATTATTACACGAGAGACTGTTGACTTTCCATCCAACCCTAAGTGTTTATTTACTTTTTATTTTTATAAAATTTATAAAATGTAGTAACACATCATCGATTTGACTCAAATTTTTTTTGGTTATTTGTAATTAAAGTGAAAACGTTTTCACGACTGAAAATGTAGAGAAAAGCTTCTAGAAAAATAGCGGAAGTGAAAAACTTGAATTTTCTATTTTGATAAGGAATTTTGTATAGAATTGTTTCAGAATATCCTTTTGGAATTGAAAATTCTTATCAAAAAGAAATCGAGAAATTTTGTATTTTGTTGTTAAAAAATGGACAGGCTTAGTCCCTTTTTATAAAAACAACGTTTGTTTATTATGGAGAACGATGGTAATGTTTACCAGGGGTAAGGCAGGGAATACCTAGGTTTCGGAAAGAAAGTCCAGCCGTTCTCAACTGATTCAATTACCAACGAACAACAATTGATTGATTGTTTTTGTTATAAATTCTACCGAATTAACTGTAATTTGACATTTAAAGTTTTCAGTATTGTGAAATCTATACCGACAATTACTGTTTAATATTTGATCTACTATTGTTCACCATTATGCATAGCTCCAATTTAAAAATATGTTAAGATTTTAAATGTTTTGATGCTTTGAGGAGTACTTTTTAATCAAAATTGTATAAAATATTTTGTTGTTGCAAAATGGTCAGGCTTTATCCCTTTTTTGTTGTTTTTATAAAAACAACGTTTATTTATTAGTGGAGAACGATGGTAGTGTTTACCAGGGGGAAAGGCAGGGAATACCTAGGTTTCGGAAGAAGCCACCAATCCTCATCAGTTCCCTTGTTTTCTGTCTGGGATATTCTCCCCAGAAGTTATTTTAAAAATAACTTCTATGACAAAAAACATTTTTTACCCAAGTGACGAGATCGTAAGCTCAATAGAAGAGGAACCAAAGAATTAAATAAAACTAACCAAATTAAAAAAGAATTAAATAAAAATTCTAAAATTCTTTTGCAAAATCTTCTAAATCTTACAACCGCACTTATAAACATTTACATCTTTCTCCACTTGTTATGCTTTCGTTCTAACTGAACGAAGAAGCATAACCATGTAAGTTGGTTTTTTCTGTTACAACAAAAGTTCCTTCGTCAACCGTGCCTTGTCTATTATTAGAACAGTGTTGGCTTTGTTTGTTCGGGATACCATAGAATTTTGTTTTTGTAAAATGGGTAAAAAATGGTTTTTGTCATAGAAGTTATTTTTAAAATAACTTCTAGGGAGAATATCCCAGACAAAAAACAAGGGAACTGATTATGATTGGTGGCTCTTTCCGAAACCTAGGTATTCCCTGCCTTACCCCCTGGTAAACATTACCATCGTTCTCCATAATAAACAAACGTTGTTTTTATAAAAATGGATTAAGCCTGACCATTTTTTAACAACAAAATACAAAATTTCTCGGTTTCTTTTTGATAAGAATTTTCAATTTCAAAAGAATATTCTGAAACAATTCTATACAAAATTCCTTATCAAAATAGAAAATTCAAGTTTTTCACTTCCGCTATTTTTCTAGAGGCTTTTCTCAACATTTTCAGTCGTGAAAACGTTTTCACTTTAATTACAAATAACCAAAAGAAAATTTGAGTCAAATCGATGATGTGTTACTACATTTTATAAATTTTATAAAAATAAAAAGTAAATAAATACTTAGGGTTGGATGGAAAGTCAACGGTATCTCGTGTAATAATTTTCAAACCGATATCTTCATTATTTTGGCAAATATAGGATTTTAGATAAATCGTAATAATGGACGTAAAAGTAGACGTGGTCAATATTTTTTCTTTAAAAACCTAACTCGATGTATGACGAACGTTTGTACAAAAAATAATGGATATCGGTCCAGCCGTTCTTAACTGATTCCATTACCAACGAACAACAATTGATTTATATTAGATATAGATAGCAACAAAGATTTACATCGGTACGGGCCTTTAACCAAAAAGACATTTTAAGCAGAACCCAAAAATCAGAAGTCACAACAACAAAACAACATCAAAAGACACATTAAGGAACAAGAAGACGAACCACTGGAATAAACAAAAAGTTAACGACAAACAAGGAGAAACTTTTATGGAAAAAGTGGAATAAATGAGAAGTTTTTGCGACTTTGCTTTTCCACTGGTGGAAAGTTAAAACATTTAGAAGCTTCCGTTTGTCTGTCCGTGTACAGTGGACTTAGAAAAGTGACTCGCCACATTTGATACATTTTGGGTTTTGTTTGCGGAACCATATTAAAAATAGCTCAAATTACATACTTACATTTACATACATATCTACTAATCAACAATTATCTCTAAAATTACTACATTGTTTGGAAAATTTACAATATTTCTTTTGGAAATTTTTACATTACACACAACAAGCGGATATATTACAATTTTAGCGTCATAAGTGTAGAACGACATACACACAACTCTATACGTTTTTTGGAAAAATATATACATATCAAACTTATTTCGCAATTTTCGGCGTCATAATTTCTCTTTCACGATAAAATCTTTGGAAAAATCATACATTTTTTGGAAATTAAGACTCTTTTTGGGTTATTGCTATATGATCTTTGGGAATATTCTTAGTGGCACATAACCAACAATTTTTTCATCGTCTAACCTTGGAGACCTAGGAGACGGTCTTTGTTTATTTTTTCTGGAAAATGCATTGTTTTCTTCTGCAATATAAACAAAGACGAAAAGATTACTTTAAATAAACGCCATATTACATTCTTAACAAATAACAAGAGCTAATTTTTGATAAAACTTGGCATCGTTACTTTACTTTACAACTCAGCTACAATCCCTTTCGTGGATAAGAGTCAATTCTTGGAGATTAGGTAACCCCAATCGAATTTTTTATGAATATTTTATGCCAGTGAGTAGTTTTTGGACTATTTTTTAATAATTTTCTCAAGTTTTGGCGAATTTGATCAAAAATTATATTTTTCTAGTAATCGGCACCCCCTGCCGATGCTTGATTTGTATGTTTCTAAGTTATAAAATGATCTTTAGACTGTTATTTAATATTATAAAATATTTCTGATTCCAAAAGTATTAAATTTAATTTACTTAAATAGATTATTAAGTTGACGCCACCACTAATTTTTTTTTTACAAACAAGCACTATCGCACGCGTTAGAAGACACTCACTGACGAAAACCAATATTCTCTCGTAATAAATGATCGGAGCTTATTGTTTTTTTTACAGAAAGAGAGCAGAGAACATTGTTGGCGTTTTTTTGCAATTATTTCATTATTTGGTCAATTTTATTCTTAGTTATTTAAGTTTAAATTTCAAGGCTGCCGACTACTGGGACATGCCGAACTTAGGCCACTTATCCTACGTGCGGTGCCCCAAATGCGACAATTTTGCTTGTTTACATATGAACCTCAAAGTGTTTCCTTTCTTCAAAAATCAATATGCATTTTTCGCACACATTATATCCCAGCATTGTTCAAGCGTATACACAACCATATTCAGCGGAAGGATAAAATAATTTCAAAGTCAAGTCAGACCGGTTCTATTTTGTTTCTGACCCTGTGCAACCGATATTTCCGGTTGTGTTTTGTGTGATTCTAGTGAACTTTCCCTAATATCAATTTGTCGGATGGCTCGAGACAGAACATTTGTTCCATAAGCCGAGTTTAGAAAAGATTTCCAGGCGCGTCGGTCTTGTGCACAGTTTTTCCAATTTGAAAGACCATGTTCCGATATGTTGTCTTCTACTTGGTCTTTCCATCTAATTCTTGGCCTTCCCCTTCTGCGTGAACCATCAGAAGGCTCGCTCTTATATACCTTATGAGCTGGGGCATCTTATGTGGAACTTGTAATTAGTTCGGTTTTGTTTTAAAAAGAGACTTACCGGTACTCTGTTATCAGAGTTATCAAATATTATTTCCACATATGCAGATATAACTCGTGCTCCAGTTCCCTCATGTAGTAGTCCTTGACGTTGCTCTGGCCTTAGATGTGTGAATTCATCACTTAGAACGAATTGAATAGCTGCAAAATAAAAAATAAAAATGTTAATTTGAAATGAAACTCTCTCTCATTTTTATAAACAATACTGGCCCGGTCCGCGTTACCGGCCCTTACTTTTAGTCCTTAATGCATATTTTTTAAAGCATAATAGAACACAGAACTGAATTATGTAAGCGGCACAATTTCCATAGTCATTTCTGAATAGAATTAAACATTCATGGCATAAGTTATAATAGACAATCACACACAGTCGGTTTAGATATTTTGAATAGACTGATCTTTATTTTTCAGCCATAGACTTTAATTGAGTGCTAAAAACCTATATGATATAGAACATCTATAATAGCCTCATGTGAAAACTCAGCTCAATTTTTGATATTATAAAGAGCTTAGAAACATTTTCCATTCAAATGAGCTGTAACATGGGATTTGTATTTACAACGTTTACAATACCGTGCTGTGTGGTATTTAGTTTGTCCACCTCATAGTTAGGGGCATAATGATTTCAGAATAGTCAATGATAATTATTCTTCTACACCCATTACCGTAAGAATGTAATTTATTTAATTTTGTCATTTAAATTGTGCGTTAGAGACCCCATAAAGTCCATATTTTTCATCATAGTATAATTCAATGACGATCAAAGAAATTAATATTCGTCATTTTTTCATGTTTCTGCCAAAATTTCCTACAGAATGAGTCTCAGTTTGAAATTTCGGAGTTTATGTCATATAGACGTAGATCTCATCTACGTACCCAACCAATATTTTCTTGGGGGTTACAAATTCAATAGAATACAAAATTTTCTTTTCTGACCACACATTTGTTGGGAAAGAAGACTTGGAGGTACACTAATGTGGGAACTATACTCAAATAAATGCCTATGTGGACAATTATCTGTATAAAATACAATTTTTTAGCCAAATCAATTGATGAATGTGGTCAAGACCAAGATGGACATTACTCCGAAAATTGAAAATTTTATGAGAAGAGGTTTTCTACACCCTTAGAAACAAAGATGCCAAATAAAGGGCTAAAAAATGAAAAAAATGTCGAAGACCGCGAAAATAGTGTAAATCATGGAATGTTGACGAACGTGATCATTTTTTGCGAGGGTGGTTTCTTCTCAAATTACCAACTTTTGCTAAAATGAGTATGCAAAATATGGTTAAAATGTAAAGTATACTTGAAATCGGGTTGTACCCTTCTCCGGTGTCATATATTATGACCTGCAAAAGCGATTGCATCTTGCATTTTGAGTTCTCATTGGACGGATTATTGTCATATGAAAGAATTAGGTCCACCTAGGTCACTCATTTCATTTTTAATATTATTCATTCAGAATTCAAAATAAAAAAATATTCACTTCTATTCTACACTTCAATGTAAGTCGCCTTTAATTTGTTCAAATGTTCAAATTTGTATGCGATTTTTTTTGGATTTTATCCTTTTCGGCCAAGAGACAATTCCGAATTTGTATGAATCGTTAAAATCAGTCCAGCGGTTCTTAAATTATAAACGTAGTAACTAACACAACTTTCTTTTATATATATAGATAGATATATTTAAATTAAAAGGAGGCGTGGTTAGTTCCTCAGCCGCCAAATAAGTACTTAGGGTTGGATGGGAAGTCAACGGTATCTCGTGTAATAATTTTTAAACCGATATCTTCATTATTTGGCAAATATAAGGATTTTTAAATAAATCGAAATAGTGGGCGTAAAATTAGGCGTGGTCAATAATTTTTTTCTTTAAAAACCTAACTCGGGGTATGACGAACGTTTGTACAAAAAATTATGCAAATCGGTCCAGCCATTCTCAACTGATTCCATTACCAACGAACAACAATTGATTTTTATATATATAGATTTGCACTCCGTAGAACAAGGCATTTTTTGGCAGAACAAAAACCTGAATTATAGCATGTTTAGCCTAGTATATCAGGATTTATTTGACGAATATGTAATTAAATTTAATCTTAAGTCCACTCGGTTTACTAAATACGGTAAACGTTAAACGTTCTATTATGGTCAAATTGGGAGTTTTCAGATTACCCCAAACTTGGATGAGCGGTATAATAGCTATTTTATATTGCAAATTTTTTGAGAGGAGTAAATCCACCTACAAAGCTCATAAATACCGAATTAAAGCATATTGTTACTTTTTGTGTTACATTGTGCCGATGTTCTACATATCAATTGCTGAGCGCAGGTAGTACCTAACAGCAGTTTACAATAAGTGGATCATAACTTGTGCTGGCATCCCTTCGCATCCCCCACAGTGTTGGATGATTTTATTAAAGTGAGCGACTAAAGTAAGTGTGATATTTCTGCATTTTTGTGTCTGAATAGGATATTTGAAATATATTTGTTGGTGTACAAAATACTTTGTACATACTTTTGAGTGCGGTGCGGTATGACCCACACGCACATATATCGATGCGCTCAGTAGATGCACAAGACCACTTGAATGAGATGTCAAGCACCCCTGCAATGTTCTCCATTCAATATTAAAATAGATTAGAACAATTGTGTGGCTGCGACTAGGTTAAGTTAGATTAGTTTCAGTAGTACGTAAGGAACATATTTTAAAAATAAAATCAGAATTGAATCAACAGCCAAACCATTCGGTTGGTTTTCTTTTCTCGCTCTTTTACATTTGGTCAATCGAGCCTTCACTTTTGTCAAAGTGAAACGAATTAGCGACCACAAAAAGAAAATAGTAGGAGTTTTCCCCCACCAGTGGTAAGAGACTCACTACAAGCAGAAGTAACTATTCTTCAAAAAAGAGGAGAATAGCTACCAATAAAAATTCGTTGAGGGATAAAATTATAAAGAGCCATAAAGGCAAAATTTAAAATATATATTTAAAAAAAAAGACCCACGGGGCAAATTAAAAAAAAAACATAACAAAAAGAGGACAACAACAGTCCCACATAAAAAATATACAATTTGGGAAAAGAGGACATCAAAGTCCCAACTGGAAAAAATAAAAAACAAATAGAAAAAAAGCCAAGAAGGCAATATAAAAAAGTTTTTAAAAGAGAACAAATAGTCCCATCTAAAACCTTTAAATTTAAAAATGTATAAAGAAATGGAAGAAGATATCAGCACTTTGGCAGACTATTTCCAGTTATTAACGTCGACGTCAGCTTTTGAAAAGGTGAAACACGTCGCGGCATGGAAGGTACTGGTAGAAAATACATATTACCAGTTACGACGGTACTTGAGGGTACACCATAAATATCTTCCAACCCATATGAAGACATTACCCTGTGATGTGGATATGTGAATGTTATCGGCAATGAAGCTTTTAGCAACCCGGAGTCGCAATTACACAGACTTGGACATCAATGAAGAAATCGAAGATTCGATGAAACCTCCATCACGATGGATACTCTCGCTGAAATATGACCATTTAACTTGGGAAGAGCAAGTGGAAGAAAACAGACAACTTAACTATGTCGAAACAAAGGAAGATTACGACAAAGAATTGGAAGATGGTTTGCACGAACAAATGCAAGTCTATGAAAACAATTTACAATCTCTGCAGAGACAAGCAAGCGAACTGCGTTCTCAACTAACAATCGAAGTGGAAAAAAGTGAAATGATATTGAGAAATGCGAAGGCCCACGAAAAATATCTGCTCGCCAAATCTGAAGAAAACTTGCGGGCCAAAGATGAACAATCCGAAGAAAAACATCGAGTTCAGAAAGATCAAGTGCGACATCTGAAAAAAAAAGTTAGAGAAAGTCAATGAAAAATTGGCTAGCTCGGAAAGAGCGCGGCAAGTCTTGGAAGCTGAGAAAGATGACCTGTCCAAGCAACTAGCAAGTATAAGAAAGGAACATAAAGATGTTAATCTAGAACAGATTCGATGTTTAGAAGGAAATATTGTGAAGTGTTTCCCGCCGGCAAGTCCTCATTTTGAGGAACGGAAAGAAGACGAAGAAAATTCCACCCTGACCAATGAAGAACTCGAAAAACATAATTATATTGGAGTAAAGGGAAAAGGAATAAAGGAGTTACGCACAGAAGGTCCCATCAGTTCCAACAAATATGGAAATGTATTTATCGAAGAAGTGGGAAAAGCCAAACAAAATTCTCTGGTTCCGGTTCCTGAAGGTCTTAGCGAAATCCACAGCAAATCATCAAGGGCCGTGAAAACAGAAGACGACGAATCGGAGCTTACAATAAAGCCAACGGCATTCATTTGCTACATTGGTGATGACGGTCTGCAGCGATGAACTACTAATTCGGCAGCATAGGAAAATGAAGCCGGCAGATAAAGGTGGTGGTATCGGCAAGAGAGGCTGGATTAAACGTTGGAGTCGTTTCCTGGAAGCGGTTACCTGATATTATTTCAACATATATAGATAGTTACGCATAAATTTTCTTTTTAAATCTGTCATATCTTTATATTTAAATATTCCATATTATTCATTTGTTAACTTTATAAAAAATACAGTCCACTATAAACAATCGGCAAACATCACTATAGATCGGCGGGCCTGGAGACTATATGGGGACTGTACCAAAATATTTACGTATGTTGACATTTTTCTGTAAGATGGTTCTCTACTAACAAAGTAGCCTAAATACAGCAATTAATGGCCAAATCAGTTGAAAAATGTGGCCAACACCACGGTCACAGCTGAAATCAGGGATACATTTATATAAGGGTTATACCAAAACGTGGCCAATATTCTCTTGGGGGTTACAAATTCAATAGAAAACAAAATTTTCTTTTCTGACCACCAATTAGATGTGAAAGTGGACTTGGGGATACTCCAATGTGGGGACTTAAATTAAGTCCTATGTGGCAATTATCTGTATGATGGTTCCCTACCCCAGAGTAGCATAAATACAATTTTTAGCCAAATCAATTAATGAATGTGGTCAAGACCGAAATGGGCCCTACTCTGAACATTTCAAACTTTATGCGAAGAGGTTCTACACCTCCTTAGAAACAAAGATGCCAAACAATGGCCAAAATATTAAAAAAGTGACCAAGACACCAAA